TCTGCAGCAGCAGCGTCAACTGCAGCAGCAGTAGTACCTGCTGCTGGATCGTTTTCCTTACGCAGCGGCACTTACAGCAGCAGCAGCAGCAGCAGCAGCAGCAGCAGCAACAGCAATAGGACTTGTTGCTGCTGCTGCTGCTGCTGTTTTTTTTGTTGTTGTTGATACAGAGGTTTATTTTTCTTTCTCTAGGGTCAAAAAAAAAGCCCCAAAAAGCTGTTGCATGCAGCAATGAAGCTTGCTGCATGCGGGGCCCCTGTGGGGCCTCCACGATGTTTATTTTTTCCTTTTTTTGTCTCCTTTCTCCTTTTCTTTTCTCCCTTTCAGGTGTATGCACACCGTATACTTATTCATGGGGGGACCCTCACTCCGTCTGATCCCCCAGCAGCGAAGACAGCAGCTTCTTTATCTGGCTCAGCTGCTGCTGCTGCTGCAGCAGAGGGCAGCGAACAGCAACAGCAACAGCAGCAGCAGCAGCAGCAGCTGCAGCAGCAGCAGCAGCAGCAGCAGCAACAGCAAATACGGTCCCCTGTGTCGCTTCATAGCGGGGATCCATCTGCTGCTGGGAGCGAATCGTCTCCAGCTCTGCGGGGAGACAGCCGAGGCAGCGAAGACAGCGANCAGCAGCAGCAGCAGCAGCAGCAGAAGGTACTGACCATCTCGCTCACCCCTTAGTTTCCTTGCAGTCTCCTCTAGGTATCGATGCATCAGAGCCGCAACCCAGGGGCCCCCAAGGAGAAACAAATAAAAAAAGGGTACAGACAGGGGGCCCCCCACAGTATACTGGGGGCCCCTCTATACAGGAAAGGGCCCCCCGCTTGCCGGGGGGGGCCCCCTCCTCTTCGTCCCCTGCAGCTGCCGGTGAGTCTGAGAGTGAGCAGCAGCAGGAGCGTCTGTCTGCTGCAGCAGCAGCAGCAGCAGCAGCAGCAGGAGCAGCAGCAGAAGCAGCAGAAGCAGGAGAAGCAGCAGCAGATGTGGGTGCTGCTGGTTCTTTCTCTATGTCAGTTGCTGCTGGAGACAGACAGGAGACAGAGGAGACAGAGGAGACAGTTGAATCTGTAAGAGTATCAGGTGTGGGGCGGGGATCGTCTGTGGGGTCGTATCCAGCAGGGGAGGAGTTGAAGGTGTTAGACCCAGACCCAGCGATGCCGACTATCGCGGAGCAACTAGCAGCAGCAGCAGCAGCAGGAGCAGCAGCAGCAGCAGGAGCAGCAGGTGCAGCAGCAGCAGAGGAGGAGATGAAGGTGTTGAAGCCACCCCTGGATCGATCCCAATAC